GTCGATGTATTGGGAGCCGTGTTGCTGGAGTGGATTATGTAAGGGCTAGACTTCTTGCGAGTCTACTGCATCATTGGTTTGGCAGTCTAGTCGACTCATGATGTTTGAAGGTCTCTTGACATATTGACACACAATTCACCACGAATATGCCAAAGAAATCATCTCTTGCTGCTGGCTTGCAATAAAACAAAACAGACAAGGCGTTCACAAAAGCACCAGTCCCGTGATTCGAATGAAAGAGCAGCACTCGAGATTTTAGCAGTCAGGGTAGTCCCAGACTCCCAGCAAGCACAGCCCCGAGGACGGCTCACACACGAGGCACAACCAAAAACCTCTCAGGCTATCCTAATCTCTGATATCAATGACGCTTCCGGGTCCTACCGCCCTAAATAATGGCCCCAAGAAGATTCACTACATAGCACACAACTGATCCGTGTGTGTACGTAGCTGAGTCAGTCTTGGCTGCCTCTGAGCAGTGAGCAGCGGATGTGGTGTGCATAACTAGACTGATGATGGACAGGTACGAGTACGACGTAGGACCAGTTAGCAGACAGAATGACAGAGTGGATCATCCGTGAACGCACCGATGCGGCTCCTCGGTCCTGGGTCTCCATGTCCCTGCATGACAGGTGATCGGAAAATACCTGATTGGCAGAATCCAGGCCGACTTGCGGTTCCCTTTACGTGTCGACGGGTCCCGAAAGCCTGACTCTCCGAACTCTAAAGGGCGAACGGTGGAGTATAGCTGGAGAACGACCGGCTCCGTTCGTTATCCACATGGCCATGGAACCAATTCCTCGGCAGGGGAGAGAAACACTAGCAATGCCCATCACGATCTGACGACGGCCATGACGAAAGGAAAGGAAGGGCTGTTTGCTTTGGCTGCTAGACTGCTGACTGCTGGATTGCTCAGCCCTCCTCCTCCTCGTCCATCCCCCCCAGGACTAAGGAAAAATTCCTGGCCATAAAACTGAAAATCCCCTGCTCGTGGTTCAACTTTTGACTTTTTGTTTTCCCAATCGTCAAGTCAGTCGCGGCAGGTTCCCAACGACCGCACACTACTTTTGTCACTCGTTTTTTCCAACAACCTTCGTTTTGGGCATTTTTCCATAAAAATCCCAGACTTTCGTTAATACAGAAAAAGCAAAAGCAAAACAAACAACAATATCATCATCATCATGTCGGGGAAACTCGCTGTTCTCTTCGCGGCAACGGGCGGCGCCCACGCCCTTGCTGCTCGGCAGGCCGGCTGCTCATTCACGGCCCATACCGAGGGCAATGTCACCTATCCTCTGAGCCAACACGCCAGTGGCCAGAGCCGCGCCGGAAGCACCATGACCCCGAGTGTCTTCACCCTCAACGCCACCGGTCTCACCGACGCCCAGGGCCGTGGCTGCTGGTGGACTCCTCCCACTACCGTTCTGCAGTGCGATGTTGGCCAGGTCCCCGAGACTGGCTTCGAGATTGGCTGCGATGGACTCATTTCTTTCAACGGACAGACTACCTTTTACGAGTGTGACACTGCCGATGGAGACCAGGTCAACATTTACAAGCTGCCTGGCCAGGCTGCCGCAAACTGTGGCGAGATCACCTTGGTTGCCGAGGCCTGCCAGGATTGCTCTGGCGACAGCAGCTCCGCTAGCCAGTCGTATACTGCTTCTGGCACTTCTGGCAAGACTTCCGTGGTCAACTCGGCCACTGGTTACTCTACCGCTTCTCAGCCCCCTGCTGGCTCTTCGGTCAAGACCTCTGCTGTCGGATCGTCGACTCCCGTTACCAGCTATCCTGCTGGTACCGAGTCGGGATCATCTCCCACTGGTTCAGCCGAGACCCCTGGTACACAAATCACGTCGACCATCACCTCAACTTCAATGATCACCATCACCAGCTGCGGACCCGAGGTGACCGACTGCCCGGATGTTACTGTGACTGAGTACGCAGCCACCGAGACTCAGTACGACTGCGGTGATATGGATTGTTCCCTCGTGAGCACACCAACCATCCAGACTACTCCTGTTCAGTCCACCCCAGTTGTCGAGACCACTCCTGCTGTTGAGACTACTCCTGTAAGCTCCAAGTACTCTGCCAGCTCTGAGCAGTCTGTTCCGGGCTACAGTGCAAGCGGTTCCAGCGCCAAGACTCCTTCGACAACCCCCGTTGCTGAGACTCAGAGTGTTCCCCAGTACCCTACCAGCAGCTCCGAGTCGAGCGAAATTGCTTCCACTCCCGTTGTTCCTGTCGGATCTAGCCAGTCAACCGTCTCGGTCCCTGTCTACTCGACGGGCAAGGCCAGCAGCTCTGTTCAGTCCAGCCACGTTACTGTTCCCAGCCAGAGCACTGTTCCTGTTGCCGAGTCGTCCTCGACCAGCCAGCACGGAACCACCGTTGATGT